CCTAACCAAACTTCTAACCCTGCCAGCTTTTTCCTGCTTTCTTCATAGCATTCACCACCATGTTTTGCAGTATATTTTTTAATCTGATATTCCTACAAGAACACAAGAGTATAGGTAATTTTGTGTATGACTTTATACCCTGCATTTAATATATTCTTGCACATTAAAGATACAAATAAATGTTGCCTGAAAGGATAAAGTCATGACTTATTTGTATTGTTCTTGTGGCTTGTTGTAGTGAGTGATCAACTATTGCTTTACATTACTGTGTTATGTGTACTTATAAATGCCAAAGTGGATTATACTAATCAGGAAATGCTGTGTGCGGAGATATCATCATATTTTCAGGCCCCCACAACACTGACTCCTTTGAGCTAAAAGTCTTTGGTCATTTGCTGGTTGAAGCATGTGGCAAAGAGAGACAACCTCCATGATAATACCCTTAGGGTATTATGGCTTTGTTGCCTCCCTGATGTAACTAAGAGGTACATCCCTCTTGAAAAACAGCTCTTAGCTTGCTACTGAGTTCTCATCAAAACTGAACACCTGATAAAGGGTCACCACATATATCTATCAAGACTTATGGTTGATACTCACATTTAGAGGGGGGCTAAAGCTCAGATTCAACATCTTGCAGTACAGAAAAGATCCAGTAAGCCTCTCAGATCAGATGGTATGTTCTGTGCTGCTCTGGCCCCAGTTACAGCTCAGCTTTGTGTAAGAAAAACAAAAAAGGCAGCAGCTGTTCTTTTAGAGAAGTTTATCCTGTGTTTTACAGCCCAGAGCAAAGCCACTAGCTCATGCAGCAATTAGTTTATATAAGAACCCCTAAATTCTAGGTCCTAGACTGTACTGATGCTTTGCTAAGCTGACCCCAGTGGTGTCTCTTCAACTGCTGGACCGTTCAGCAACAGTGCCAGCTGTGTGGAACACAAAATGGATGCAGTTGCTTCAGTGGACAGAACTCAAAGCTGTTCTCAAAGCTCTGGCCGATACTTACTGATAAATCTTGGTCTGTTTTTTACTGACGTGTTGACAATGGCCTAGCTATTTGGTCTGCCACTTGGAAAACTACAGACTGGCAGATTAAAAATTTCCCTCTTTGGAGCCATGAACCATGGAAACAAATCATGTCTGTTGGTAGAATTGTCTGGGTCAATTATGTAGGGGCCCAAAGTGAGGGCCCATTCTCTGATGAGACCAACTGCAATCAAGGTACAGGCTAGCTTCCATTTCCCAATAGCCACCTTTGCTTCCTGGATCCATTATGTTCTACACTTGGCAGTACACCCACTACCACAGGCTAGGCACCAAGTAGAGGACTTTGTAAAAGTTTCAGATGCATGAGTCACCACTGAATGTCAGATCCAGAACTAATAAAAGTTGAATTCTGTTCCTGTAAGGGCACTATGAGATATTTGATTTCACTTGTGTTAGTTAGCTTTTCATCACTGTGAAAAGTACCTGAGAGGAACAATTGACAGGATGAAAAGATTTCATTTGACTGACAGTTTCAGTTTCCAGAATTACTGTTGTAATCCAATTGGATGGGATAGTTCAACCTGGGAAGGGTAAAGTCGACCTCTTTTCCTATTCCATGAAGAGCATGTGAAGGTCTCCATTTGGTCTTTTCTGACACCTCCAGAAATGACCCCAATGACCTCCTAAAATCTAGGGGTGGATGCCAGATACAAGTGGCTCATGTCTGTAATCCTAGCAACTCAAGAGGCTAAGATTTGAGAAATTTGAAGCCTGTCCAGGCAGAAAAATCCTTGAGACTTGTCTCCAATAAACTGCTTTAAAAAATCCTGGAGTTGAGCTATGGTAGAGCACTTGTCTTGAGCAAAAGAAGCTCAGAAACAGTGTCCAGGCCCTGATTACAAGCTCCAGGGTTGGCATGCACACATGTGTGTGTACGTGCGCAAGACACCCGGACACACACACACACACAAATGCAGGGGCAGAAATACGATGAAATAGGACAGAGGGAAAACTGTTTCTTTGGGTGGAAATATACTATGATTGAAGAACCAACCACTAATAATTCTGTATATTTTGAAGACAGTTCTTGGCTCACAAATTTATGCATCAATAATGATAAACTGGGTGCCAATGACCATGTCTGTAATCCTGGCTACTTGGGAGGCTGAGACTTAACAGGATCAAGGTTCTAAGCCAACTGGGTGCAGAAGAAGTTGTGATACTCCCGTCCCCAATTAATCAACAAAATGTCAGGTGGAGGCATGACTTAACTGGTATAAATAAATAATAATGGGCAACATTTACTGGGGAGCCATCTCCTTGTACTAAGTATATTACATATATTATTTCATTAAAATGGTATTTATATTTGTATGCAACCCTATGAATGGAGTTTTTGTTGTTGTTGTTGTTTTTGTTGGTCGTAGGGCTTGAACTCTGGGCCTGGATACTGTCCCTCAGCTCTTCAGCTCAAGGCCAGTGCTCTACCACTTGAGCCACAGCACCACTTCCAGTTTTCTAGTGGTTAATTGGAGTCTCACAAACTTTCCTGCCAGGGGCTTGCGTTGAATTGCAATCCTCAGATCTCAGTCTCCTGAGTAGCTAGGATTACAGGCATGAGCCCCAGGTGCCCTGCTGAATGTATACTTTTGTTGCTGAATATCAAACCTAAGGCTTCACACACACTAGGCAAGTGCCTACACCAATCAAAATCACTAGTCTCATATTTTATACTTAAAGAAAGTGAAGTGTATAAATCATACATTGTGGAGTTTAAATGTGAATCGAAGCTCATTTGAGGGGAGAGGGAATTATGTACAGGGGAAGATGGGTTGGGGAATGTGTATGTAGGAGATTGGGAATGTAGAGAGAGATGGTTTGGGGGAGTTGGAGGATGTGTATAAGGGAAAATGGGGGTTTAGAGGCGATTGGGACGTGTGTAGGGGAAGATGGGTGGAGATGGACCCAGGGCCTGTCCATGCTAGGCAAAAACTCTACCAGTGAGTTACATTTCCAACTCCAAGCTTGCTGGGCTTTTAAAATAATTTATCACTGAATCAGGTGGTGGTGGCTCACGCCTGTAATCCTAGCTACTCAGGAGGCTGAGATGTGAGGATAGCAGTTCAAAGCCAACCAGGGCAGGAAAGTCCATGAGCCTCCTATCTCCAAATAACCACCAGAAAATGGGAGTGGTGCTGTGGCTCAAGTGGTAGAGCACAACTCTTGAGCTTGAAGAGCTGAGAGACAGCAGCCAGGCCCAGAGTTCAAGCTCCACGACCACCACCACCACCAACAAAAGGTAGAGCATTGAGGCCTGAGGGTTCGTCATAACTTCCTGAACCCCCTTAGAACTAACTTCCTGCAGACTGAAGGAAAGGGTAAGCCTTATGCAGATAAGCCAATGAGATGGCTAGGTCTTGTGAGTGACATTTTGTTTGGCCAATGGGATCAGCCTCGGGGTTCCCCTTCCTTCCTGTCTCAGGACCCAGCGAACCCTCTGGGCTTCTGCGTGGTAGGTGGTAGAAGACGGTGTTCCCTCTCCCTACTGCTCAGGTGAGAAGAGGTCAGGAGTGGCAGGGCAAAGAGGATAAAGTCTCCCTCGCTGTGGTGTAACCCAGGTGGGCGTTTGGTGAAGCACCTGAGGACGGCAGAGCTCCGGCCCCTCGAGGCGCCTCCTCCGCCATGCGGGAGGTGTGCGGGCGGGGGAGGGAAATGGCGGGAAGTCGTTATTCGAGGCACGTGGACCGGAAGAGCGCGGCCCGCCTCACACACGAGGTGGCGGCCTACGAAGGGAGGGCGCTCAGCTGAGGTTGAACTGAGAATTCTTTGGAAGGAGATTGGGCTAGGCCCCCTCCCGCCCTTACCGGCAGAGCTATTGGTGGGAAGATAACTGGCTCTGTTGAAAGGGGGCGGGATACGCTTTCAGGGCCTCCTGGCTTTCCGTTAGGCGCTGGGCCTAGTGCCCCAGCCCTCACCACCTGCTTGCAGGAGTCAAAAGGTAGGCCTAGCCTCAGATGGAGCCACCTCCGGTTAAACCTTTCATTTAGCTAAGTGTCTGCTGCTGACCGCTGCAGACATTTAAGGAGGGGCCTGAATCATTTCATGTGCAGATTGGGTGAGGGAAGTGTGAAGGGGAGGATTCCAGAGAGAGGTGATTGGTTCATGATATAGCACCTCTTAGTATGTACTTCTTTAGCAATGGGTGGTGTGAGCAAGGAGTTATAAGCATGATTTTAGCAGTAATGGGGGAGAAAGGATGCCTTTGAGAAAGGGAATAATAGCAAGCTTTGATAGTGTAAAAAAGGCTGGGTTCAAAGAATTATCCATGTTGTTTTTAGCTACTTCTACACTAGCCACTTAGGAGTTATGTTTCAATCTTTGTGTGTATGTGTACTGGGACTTGAACTCAGGGCCTGGGCACTATCCCTAGATTTTTTTCACTCAAGGCTGGTGCTCTACTGCTTGAGCCACAGTTCTACTTCCTGCCTTGGCTGCCTTTGAACCTTTATCCTCAGAGCTCATCCTTCTGATTAGCTAGGATTATAGGCATGGGCCACCAGCACCTGGCTCAGTCTATTCTTAATATAAACATAGGAAAAAAATTTTTTGGTCAGTTATGCGGCTTGAATCCTGGGCCTAGGTGCTGTCCCTCGGCTCTTCAGCTCAAGCTAGCACTCTACCTCTTGAGCCACAGGGCCACTTCCGGTTTTCTAGTGGTTTATTGAAGATAAGAATCTCATGGACTTTCCTGCCTGGGCTGGCTTTGAACCATCATCTGATCTGAGCCTCCTGAGTAGTTAGGATTACAGGCATGAGCCTGGCCTTAAACATAGAAACTTTTGAAGTGAATATGTTTCAGAAGGCTAATAGAATCACTGGTCTGACTCAAAGTTACTTTTTTCCCTATGCTTTTTGAGCCTGTCTTTCTTGAAGGAAAAGAATTGAGAACTTTTCTCTTTTAAAAATGTTGACAGGTGACTAACCAGAACAGACTCAACACCTGTGTCTACAGCTTTGGGATGGATCCTGTTCAACCACCATTCAGGGGTCCTGCTCCCATCCACTCATCTCAGTGTATTCGCATGCCAGGCTGTTGGCCACATTCTCCTAAACCTTTGGACTCGGCTCTGGTTAAGGCACCTGTAGGCAGAGGCCATATGTTTAGAAAGCTGGACAACACCCAGAAGCCGCCAATACAAAGGGTAAGACCATAACTAGACGCACAAGAGTAACATTCATGTGTACTCAGTGTAATGTATGTAATCAGTGGACATGATGGATTTCAAAGTACTTAAGACAGAAAACCAGCTAAAAGGCCAGGAGTTTTGGGGGTGGGCAGGGGAGGGGAAGGAAGAGGAGCAAAGAGGGAGGTGGGAAGTTAATTTGTTTTGTTCCAAGTAGTTACTTCTTTCTGGGTGTACAATTCAAAACCTAAAGTTGCAAGCCTAGAATAAGTGCTTTATAATAAATACTAGATAGACTTGGATAATCATCTTAGGTTGGTTCTCTAGTTTGTATCCTTCCAGCCATAATTGGGTTTAAAGATACAGACTGCCAATATATGCCAGTGAAAAGAGCTTGGTGTGGTGGTACATGGTTATAATCCCAGAACTTGTCAAACTGAGGAAGGATGATAGCAGGTTCAAGACCATCCTGGAATACTTAGTGAGTTCTAGGCTAGCCTGAGGTTCATAGTAAGACTGTCTCAAAAACAAAAACAAAATTACAGCCTGTTGTATGTTATTGTTCTGGGGTTTTTTTCCCTCAGTGTTTAGGTTTTTACCTTGGTTGTACTCTATGGTATTGGTAGTAACTCGTGCCTCTGAGATAATAATTGTTAGATTTGTTTCTTTCAAACCACTTTGCCCAAATCTTTAAGTCAGAGATCTTCAGCTCTTGCTACTGCAGTGTGAACATGTGTGTGTTCTTGATCTTTTAATAGCCGTGATTTAACAAATAGTATTAATCCATAGTAAGTTGTGTCAAAGACAAATTACATGTATAGGAAGAACCTAGTCATTCAGTTATGATCATTTTAAGAGATGACATTGTCAGATGTAATGAGTTGTGATAAAACTGTGTGACAGTAATCTTATCTGTTTAATTAGATTAATTGATAGGTTTGTATGTGACTGGTATAGCAGTAATCTTTCAAGACTGCCACTGGAAAGCAGTAGTAATTCCATTGGATGTTGTTTTAACGCAGGAAAAAAAATTTGCTACTTCAAATAGTCTAGCTATTTTGAAATTTGTTTTTTTTTTGGGTCCGGTCGTGGGGCCTGAACTCTGGGCCTGAGCGCTGTCCCTCAGCTCTTCAGCTCAAGGCTAACGCTCTACCACTTGAGCCACAGTGCCACTTCCAGCTTTTTCTTTTTGCTTATGTGGTGCTGAGGAATCGAACCCAGGGCCTCAGGCATGCAAGGCAAGCGCTCTACCACTGAGCCACCTTCCCAGCCTCCTATTTTGAAAAATTTTAAACCAGTATTCTTATTCCCTTTTGGTATACAGGAAATAATTGTTACATTGTGCATCAAATTGACTTTTCAACTAACTATGCTTTAAAAATCTAGTATTATGTGACCATAAGTACCAAAATTTTAAAAATTACTATAAAGTTGATGTACAGAGGGGTTACAGTTATGTAAGTCAGATGAAGAGTACATTTCTTTTTAGACAATGCCACCCCTTCCCTCACTGTCTCCCAGTTTTTCCCTCTGTTTCCCACCCACAAGTTGTATAGCTCATTTCCAACACAGTGTTCAGTGAGTGCCATTGCTATACTGGGAAAATTTTTGTACAGTTACTCTTTTTTTCTGGGTTCAAACCAGGATCCTCAAATCTCAGAACTCAGCCTCTTGAGTAGCTGGGATTATAGGTATGAGCCACCAGTGCTGAGCCTTGTACAATTGTTCTTATCATTTATAATTGGAACATAGAAGTTGTAAACTTCCAGACTTCCAGAAAAGCCATTACTTGTGGAGTTTTAAACTATGTCTCCAAATAACTTTAATTACCTACTTCCCACAGGAGTCTGCTGGTTTGGGTTCCATGTTTCAAGGCATGGGCCTTGCCACAATGTCCCCGACCTCTCCCAAACGTGAAGTGCCTCCGTTAGGTATGTGGAAAACTTAATTTGAGAACTGTAGAGGTATGGATGCTTGCTTTGTTTTGAAATCCATGCAGTTTGCCTTCAGAAAAAATAGCTGTACACTTACTGTTTCAGTTAAGCTTTTGATTTTTAAAATTTTTTTCAGGCAGAGGCATTTTAGGCAGAGGTTTTTCTGCTAATATGACCCACAAAGATAAAGAAGAACCCCATCCTCCTTTCCCTGATCCATCTGTGTTGGCAACTGGAGATAGCAAGCTGGCAGAGGTCTCTGTTGCTTGGAACAGGTAGGTAATAAGTCACCTTCCTGTGTGACCCCAGTGTTCAGGTGGGAAGAGAGTTTGTGGGAACTCAGTGTTGTCTCATGAATGAGCCTTTACAAAGTGGATGCTTACTGGAAGAAGCTCTGTTGTGATCCATGCAACCACTGGGTCACAAACCCTTTCTTTTCTCCACTTAACCCTCTATCCTGATTGTTCTTTAGTCTAAATGAGTCAATTCTGCTCTGAACGGTGGTTCTGAGAGTGACTATCAAGAGCTGTTGGAGGATGAGTCGTCATTTTGAGTGAATCCCACAGCTGTGCTTGGACATCTTTGGCTCACTCCTCCAAGAAGAGAATGTAGAATGTTATCTAGATGCAGAGCACATAGAAATATGACTGAGAAAGGCCTGATTTGCTTCTCTCTTCCCCATTTCAGAGTACTTGGAAGAGGGAATTTGGATGCTTCTATGTTTCCGCTGGGAAGAGCTGGTGGTTTAGGCAGAGGAGTGAATAAGTCTCCTGGTTCAGTTGGCCTGATTGCTCGGGAACCCCCACAGTTGTCACAACCCCCAACACTGCCCTTGACCTCACTGCACTCTGTGGATTCCCCTCCCAGCTTAACTTTGGAACAAAAAGAAAAGTAAGTCTCATTGCCTGTTCTATGGTAAAATAACTATGAAAGAAGCACCTCATGTGTTCCTGTATTTGGGTTGCCATGTAGCAGTGTGTGCCCATAGTCCTCCATGGATGCTAAGAATCATGGGGTGTTTGGGAGGTTTTTCTGTTGTGTGTGTGTGTGTGTGTGTGTGTGTTTTTGCCAGTGGGATCAGTGGATTTAACAATGAATGTATGTGATAGTATGTATGGAGAATAGACATGGTGAGTCATTTCCTTCCCAGTTCTGGTAGACACTTCTCTGGCATGTCAAAGACAACCAAGTCATTTAGGAGAAATACTACCAGCATCTTTCTAGAAGCAGTTGGCATTGTTCGTTCCAGTCCTGTTACTAGGAGAGGTATGGTGGCCAAATCTAATTAGACACTGCTTGGTTTTGTATATCTTGGAGTTTTGGTTTGTATGTCTATAATTGAAAAGTAGAAAAACATTACTTCCCCCAGTATTTTTGTTGTTAGTGATATGGGTTGGTTGATAAGCTTTGTTTTTAGTATATTTAGGTTTGTGGGTTTTCTGCCATTGTGAGACTTGCACTTAAGGCTTCTGAGTTCTTGCTCAGCTCTCTTGTTCACATCTGGTACTGTACCACCTGAGCAGTCTTGCTTTTCCACAATTATTTTACTGTGAATTACTTTCTGGAAGGTATTTGTGTCAATGATAGCTGTGTGGTGAAAATTTCATCTGACAATGTGTACCACTTCCCAACTCCGTGTTCAGTGCCAGTCCAGCTTTTGGCTGGTTAATTGGAGATGGAGTCTCAAAGATTTTTGCCTGTGCTGGCTTTGAACCGCAGTCCTTTAGGTTTCAACCTTCTGAGTACCTATAGGTGTTGTAGTTCAGGATGGCTTTGAATTCCTGGGCTCAAGGGATTTTCTTGGACTTAGTCTCCAAAGTAGCTGAAACCTGAGAAAAGAAGAAGTATGAATGCTTCTGAAATCTGTGCTCACCACTCTCCTGGTGCTCTTATTTTTATTAGCATACATTTGTTGTACAAGGAGGTTTCATTGTAACATTTCCACACATTCAAACCATATACATCAACTACACTCCTTCTATGGCTTTCCCCTGTGCCTCTCCCTCCTTCTGAAACATTTTCAACAGCTTTTATTAGTACATTTTTTGTTGTTGTTGTTGGTGGTGGTAGTTGTGGAGCTTGAACTCTGGGTTTGAAGAACGATTCCTGAACTTTTTTTTTTTTTTTTTGGGGGGGGGGTTCGGTCGTGGGGCCTGAACTCTGGGCCTGGGCGCTGTCCCTCAGCTCTTCAGCTCAAGGTTAGCACTCTACCACTTGAGCCACAGCGCCACTACCGGCTTTTTTCTTTTTGCTTATGTGGTGCTGAGGAATCGAACCCAGGGCCTCAGGCATGCAAGGCAAGCGCTCTACCACTGAGCCACCTTCCCAGCCCCCCCTGAACTTTTTTTGTTCAAGACTAGAACTCTACCACATTGAGCCACAGCTCCACTTCCAGTTTTCTGGTGATTAATTGGAGATAAAAATCTCAAGGATCTTTCTTTCCAAACTGATTTTGAACCATGATCCTCAGATCTCAGCCTCATGAGTAGCTTGGATTGCAGACATGAGCCACCTGTACGCAGCTTCATTATTCGGTTTTCATACATGCAAATGAACTGCTTCAGCCATATTTCATCTTATTTATTCCCCACTTGTTAGTTTTCCCCCTGGAGTCTACCCTACTTTCTTGTCATTCATTTTTCCTCTTTTTTTTCCCTTTTTAGCGTGCATTAATTGAACCATGAACTTCATCTTGGTGCATTACATGTGGCTGGTGATTTTTTAAAAAGTTTTATTAGCATAAGTTAATTGTACAAAAGGGCTTCATTGTGATTTTTTTTTTTTGTTGGTCATGGGGCTTGAACTTTGGGCTTGGATACTGTTCTTGCACTCTTCATTCAAGGCGAGCATTCTACCACTTGAGCCACAGCGCCACTTCCAGTTTTCCAGTGATTTATTAGAGATAAGAGTCTCGTGGACTTTCCTGCCCTGGCTGACTTTGAACCCTGATCTCAGATCTCAACCTCCTGAGTAGTTAGGATTACAGGCATGAGCCACCGGTGCCTGGCCTTCATTGTGATATTTTAAGCATACATATAATATGTTATGATAAAAAATGCTTCATAAATATTTTTGCTTTTCCAGAGAGCATTTTGTGAAACAAGGATCAAAAGGAACACTTCAGTCTTTGGGACTAAACCTCATCAAAATACAGTGTCATAACGAAGCAGTTTATCAGTACCATGTGACTTTCAGGTATTTGCACCTCTTTTTCTCTTGTTCATTTCTTGGAGGGCAGGAATGGTGCACATCTCCTGGAATAACTGAATACTCACTTGTGTGATTCCTCATGAACCTTTCTATGGAAGGATGCCCATACTTGGATGCTGGCAGGAAGTTAAGGTTAACAATTTTGTGGGCATATTTTTAGCTATATTACCAACTCAAATTTTAACATAACAGATATGTGGTGGTTATGTGTGATGCTGGAAGTGGATTTAATGTGCAGCAGAAGTTCAGAGTGTTTTACTTGGCATGGGCTTCTTCCATGACCTTGCAACTTTCTGTGTGTAATTTTGCATTTTATTTTATTTTATTTTTTGCTAGTGTCACAGTTTGACCTTATACCACTTGGCCTATGCCACCAGCTAGCTTTGGAATAACTGAATACTGGAATTATTCTAGCTACTGGAAATGAGTAGCTGGAAATACAGGTGGGAGGCACTGGCATCTTCCTCTTTTCTTTTTAAGCAGTACTTGGGTTTGAAATCTAGGCGTTGTTCTTGGTAAGCAAATGCTTTACCATTTGAGCTATTCCCCTAGCTCTTTGTGCTTCAGATTTGTATGTTTTTATTTTGTTTTGGTACCAATCTTGGGTCTTGAAGTCAAGGCCAGAGCATTGTCCTTGAACTTTTTTTGCTCAAGGCTAGTGCTCTATTACTTGAATTACAGCTTTACTTTTGGCTTTTTTTTGTGGTTAACTAGAGGTAAGAGTCTTCTGGACTTATTTGCTCAGGCTGGCTTTGAACGAATATCTTTAGATCTCAGCCTCCTGAGTAGGGAGGATTACAAGTGTGAGCCACTGGTGCCTGGTGCTTTAGTTATTTTAAAAAATTACTGTTACTAAGTAGTTGCACAAAGCATGTACATATAATTTTATTGCCTTATATGAGTTACACAAGATGGGAAGGATTTCATTGTTACCTACCCACACATGTTTATACTGTATTCCAGTTTGACCCCAGTATCTCACTCTCTGTATCCTTCCCTCTGATACATACATGTTAAGTTTTGCCTGCCTCCTCCTTCTTCTTTACTTCCTTCCTTTCCAACTTCCTCCATTCCCTCCTGGAAGGCTTTATTTTATTTATTATTTTTGTGGGGGTGGGTTGAGGGGCTTGAACTCAGGCCTGAGCTCTTTTGCTCAAGGCAGGTGCTCTACCACTTGAGTCACAGTGCCATTTCTGATTTTTGAGTGGTTAATTGGAGATAAGAATCTCACAGGGACTTCTCTGGCCTTGGCTGGCTTCAAACAGTGATCCTCAGACCTTAACCTCCTGAGTAGCTAGGATTACAGATGTGAGCCACCAGTACCTGGCTAAGGCTTTAAACTCTCCTGCCTCAGCCTCCTAAGTAGCAAGTACCACCACATTCCATTATTTCCCTGTATTTTCTAATGCTGCTGTGAGAAAGTGTCCTTGAGTCGTCTTTTCAGTCAACTATATTTATTTTTAATATGACCACTAGATGGAGCATGGTTACAAATGACTGTTTCTCTACCGTACCCATAGCACAGCTGTGGTAAAGATTTTAGTCAAATGTAAGTAAACAACTCTTTTGTTTTTTTCCAGCCCCAACGTGGAGTGCAAAAGCATGAGATTTGGCATGTTGAGGGATCATCATTCTGTCACTGGAAACGTCACTGCTTTTGATGGATCTATTCTTTATCTACCTGTTAAACTTCCACAAGTAAGACCCAAAGAAATAGTTGTTTAAATGAAACCTGAGTGCCCTAGTGTTTTGAATGTTAGGAAATCAAAGACTTCCTGCACATTTGAGTTACATCTACTTATTCTTAGAAGTAAAGAAGATTTCACTGGATGCCAGTGGCTCATGCCTATAATCCTAATTACTCAGGAGGCTGAGATGTGAGGATTGTGGCTCAAAGCTAGCCCAGGCAGGAAAGCCCATGAGACTCCTTTTCCAATAACTCTCAAAAAGATGGAAGTAGAGCTGTATCTCAAGTGGTAGAGTGTTTGCTTTGAAAAGAAAAAAAAAATCTCTAAGACATTACCCTGAGTTCAAGCCCCAGTACTGGCATAAAAGATTAAAAAGAAGGCAGATGTCTGCAGATTTAATAAAAACTTAGCATTTGAGGTCTTCAAGAAGTACTTTCTCACATAGAAAAAGTAGTTGGAAGACTTTGGCTTCTGTGATAATTATGGCTTAACTGGGCACTGTGCCCCTGCCTGTCATCCTAGTTGCACAGGAGGCTAAGATTAGGAGAATTATGGTTCCAGACCACCTTGGGCAAAAAAAATTGTTGACTAGATTCCATCTTAGTGGAAGTAACTGGACACCGTGGTGCGTTCCTGTCTTGTCATCTCAGCCATGGTGGGAAGTGTAAAGTAGAACTGAGGTCTAGACACAGGCCTGGGCAAAAAAAGAGACCCTATCTCAAAGTAACCAGAAAAAACAAGGACTAAGGCATGGCTGGGAGATAGAGCATCTGCCTAGCAAGCACAAGGCATTGAAGTTCAAACCCCAGTACTACCAAAAAAATAACTTGAAAAAAATGGCTTAAAACTTCAACTTTGAACTATGGATTTCTCTTACCAAACAATCTCTTGACTCTTGGTAGTCATGCTATGGTTTTGCTGATGTGGGCAGGAAAGTGAAAGTGAGGGAAAACAAAATATTTTGTGATATTGCAGTGTTTTTTATGCAGTTGGGTTAGATCATAGCTTGGTGATTCTGTGTTTGTTGTTCTTGTTGTGCTGGTCCTGGAGCTTGAACTCAGTGCCTGAGGACCAACCCTGAGCATTTTTGCTCAAGGTGAAACTCAAGTAGAGCTACAGCTCCACTTTTGGCTTCTTTCAGAAATAAGAATCTCATGGACTTTTCTTCCTGGGCTGGCTTCAAACCATGATCCTCAGACCTCAGCCTCCTGAGTAGATAGGAGTATAGGCATGAGCCACCAGTGCCAGGTAGTCATTTCTTTTTTTATTTGTGTATGTTTATCGGTTAGGTTGTTGAGTTAAAAAGTCAAAGGAAAACTGATGACGCGGAGATAAGCGTAAAGATTCAGTTGACAAAGATCCTGGAGCCTTGTTCTGACTTGTGCATTCCCTTCTACAATGTTGTCTTCCGGCGGTAAGAAAACAGCGTTAATCTTGCTGGGTTTCAACATCAGCCTTGTATTTTTGATAATACTCTTCAAGCAATGTGGATAGCATTACATCTATCATGGACATAACCCTAGATGGGTTTGGAAACTTGTAGTAAATAACTGGAAGATCTTGATACTCACTTGCTCAAAAATTCTCTCACAAGTGTGCTTGGGCAGATTTGAGTATACAAATTGAGGTTTGGAGGTAGCTGGGTAGGGATATAGCTTTCTTTCAAGAAACTTGAAAGAAAAAAGATGTTTATATTATGTATTTATTTGTGTTGTTAGTAAGGGAGCTATTCAAAGAGTGCAAGAAACATCTGCTGTAAGAATCCCCTTGGATTTTTTGATTAAAGACAAGGCAACAATTATTTAGCTTCCTTTGAGACTCTCTAATTCTATAGCTTTTATTCCAAAACTTCTCTCATTTGATAAAACAGAACTTAATTTTTGCTGAGTAAACTGAACTGCCAGGAACAAGCATAACACCCTTTGGTAGGCTATTGATTCCAAACGTGGAAACTGAGTCTGGGAAATAACTTGGTGTTAATTAGTTACTGTCATTTGTACAAAATGCAAGATAAATGGTTTTTCTTTTAACAAGATTATTCTGAACATAAAAGCTATATTTTGCAAAGAACACAAACATTTCTGACCCTTTAGACTTCCAAAGGAAAACATAGCCAAGAGAAATAGAGCTTAATTTGAACATTTTTCTGTTAGCCCATTCAAGGGCTGGGAAGTGGTGTGTAGCTCGTGGTAGAATATGTGCCTAGCATGAATGAATACCCTTGACTCCATCCTCAGCACTACAAAAGAGAAAAAAAAATACGTTCTGATTTTTAATTTCAGGGTAATGAAACTTTTAGATATGAAGCTTGTGGGGAGAAACTTCTATGACCCTACAAGTGCCATGGTACTACAGCAACACAGGTTGGTGGGTTTTTTTCTCCTTTACCTTTGAATATTCTGGAAAGAAACTACTAAGGACAAATATTTCAACAGTGTTTTATGGTAGTGAACATAATTTATTGGTTAAGTCTTTTTGTTAGTTTGGATTTTTCAGTAAATTTGCAGTGATATTGATTTAGTTTATTTTCTGGGGCTTCCTCATTGTTATGACAGAAAAGCAGTTTGGATTCAAACGATTGTTTCAAATGAAGACATGGAATTGGCCTTGTTCCTTTCAGAACTGTAAAGATTATCTCTCTTCAGATTGCAGATCTGGCCTGGGTATGCAGCTAGCATCCGGAGGACAGATGGAGGTCTTTTCCTGCTTGCTGATGTCTCTCATAAGGTCATCCGTAATGATTCTGTGCTGGATGTCATGTGAGTGGATGGCGAATGGTGGATTCTACCTTTAACATGCTGATAAGGACTTTTTGGTATACTTTTTTTTTTTTTCTTTAAAAGGAGTAACTTTCTCAGTAGGTCAGAAGAGCTCAGTCTTTAGAAACATAGTCATCTTCCCTTCATCACCAGGATTGGTTTACATAGGTCCAAATGTTAATGAGCCAACTAAAATTTACCAGTTAAGAGCAAATATCATCTATTGCTGTTAAGTTCTCAGTAATCGTTTAATGGCTCATCTCCATAGAATTCAGTACCATCTTAGAATGGCTGGTAAATCCTGAGCCCCCACGTGGCTGTCCAGGCTGATTTCACCCTCACTGTCACTCGGCATGCCCTTCTTTTCCCCTCATAGCTTATCCGCTTCCTCTGGGGTTGTTCCCTGATTCTAACAAGTAACATGACTTCCAATATTTTCCTAAATATGTCTGTATGGAAAGAAATGACTTAGTGACTTTATGGGATTGAAATGTCTTTAGTTTATCTAAGTTTTATTGGGCATGAAGTTCTAGGTTGGAGATACTTTTCCCTCAAAATTGTGAAGGTATTGCTTTCTAGTTCTGTTTTGTTTTGTTTGAGGCAGGGTCTCACTATCCATCCCAGGCTGGCCTCAAACTTACCATCCTTTCTTCTCCATCTCCTAACTGCTGGGTTTATGCCACCTCATTTATCTAGTTCTTTGTGTTTAGACTTGCTGTTGAAAGATAAAAGTAGATTTGCTGTTGAAAGATAAAAGCCATTTTGATTTCTGATTCCAGAGTCTTTGTAGTTCTTCCTTGACTGTCCCTTTGGAAACTTCACAGGCTTTTTTTTGGGTCCGGTCGTGGGGCCTGAACTCTGGGCCTGGGCACTGTCCCTCAGCTCTTCAGCTCAAGGCTAGCGCTCTACCACTTGAGCCACAGCGCCACTTCTGGCTTTTTCTGCTTATGTGGTGTTGAAGAATCGAACCCAGGACCTCATGCATGCAGGGCCTTTTAATTTTTTTAAATGACAATCTTCAGGCTTGAACTCAGGGATTGGGTGCTGTCCTTGATCTTTTTTGCTCAAGGCTAGTACTCTATAGCTTGAGCCACATCTCCACTTCAAGTTTTTTTATGGTTGATTGGAGATAAGAGACTCACAAACTCTACTGCCCAGGTTGGCTTCAAACCACAGCCTACTGAGTAGCTAGGATTACAAATATGAGCCACCAGTACCAGCCTTCTTTTTAAATTTGTCTTCACTTTTTAGAAGTTTTACTATAATGTATCTAGTTGTGGTGTTTGTTAAAAAATAATTCATGGCAGTTGTTAAAGAATGGTAAGGCATGGGGTTGGAGGTGTGGCTCAGTTGGCAGAACACTATTGAATGAGCAAAAGTGGCTGCAGGTACTGAATTCAAGTTCTGCTCTTGGACCTAGAAAAAAAAAGAAAAGGAGAATGGTAAGGCAGATTGTTGATGGTACAGTGATCATCTTAAGTAGGCTTGCGGTAAGGGAGAGAAACCTACTCAGCTCCAAATATGAAGAAAAGTGGGGTTGTAAATTTTATTTGTTTGTTGGGACCAATCCTGGCTGTTTTCAAATTCCTAGGTTCAAGTAGAGCCTCTTGCCTCAGTCCCTCCTTCCTTAAGCAGCTGAAAGTATGGACAGCACTCCACTACACCTGACTTGAAAAGTGGAAATTTATAACCAAGGAACTTTGTTCTAGTGGATGGATGGGGGGATGTTAACATTGGTTGGGAATTTTCTAACAGGAAACATCAGGTCTAGGGAAATTCTGGCTAAATAGACCCAAGAGGCAAGCCTAGGGGAGTGTCAGATGTCACATGGGGAGTGGGGACTAAAGCTGTCATCAGATATGGAAAATGATCAGATAGATAAAATGTTAGTTTAGATAGTTTAGCTAAACTGGTAGTTTGAGACCAGTGCAGGCCAAAAAAAAAGTTATTAAGATCGTGTCTCAAAAAAGTCATGGCTGGGAATATGGCCTAATGGTAGAGTGCTTGCCTACCATACATGCATGAAGCCCTGGCTTCAATTCCTCAGTACCACATAAGCAGAAAAGGCTGAAAGTGGCACTGTGGCTCAAATGGTAGAGTGCCATCCTTGAGTAAA